CCCCGCCATGGCTGTGCTGGTGGCAGGGCGGGTGGGCGGAGGTGCCTCTCCTGCAGCGGCCGGGCGTGCCATCCTCCGGTTGTGTCCACAACCCCTGAAGTTGCCATGTCCAGCGTTTCCAGGGCCCCTGCTCCCGGTGCCCACGTGGTGACACCAGGCCGTGGCTCTCACCCACCGTGTGCTCATCTGAGCGTTTTCTATGTACATGGTACCCGGACGCCCGCACTTGTGCGGGGACGCCTGTCGCCTGCTGTCACGGGAGAGTCTGTGGGAGCCCAAGGTCGAGGGCCCCGTGGGGCTGGGCGAAGTGGAGGAGGGTGAGCGCCAGTTCCCAGGGCAGCCGGAGGCCAGGAGCCGGGACCCAGCACCGGGAGGAGGCTCTCTTTGGTCACAGATTAGCTGACAGTTAAGGGGACACTAACCAGGGAGCATGTGCTCAGCGTGGGGTGGGGGGGTGGGGGGGCAGGCAGGTGTCTCACAATCGGCGCCGTGGCTGAGGGTCTGGGGAGCCAGCCTCACGGGGCCTCCTGCTCCAGGTCGTCCCCGCACAAGTGCCGCAGGAGCTGCTGGAGGTCGCGCTGGAGGTCGTCCCGCTGCAGGGCCTCGGGCACATCCTCCAGGGACTCCAGGTGCACGCGCTTCCCACGCCGGTCCCTCACCACGGCCCGCTTCTGTGTGCGGGCCTTACGGAGCGTCGCCCTGGGAGGAGACCACACAGGTTAGGCCCTGCTCTGCGGACCCACCGCCCATCACTCGCGCTGGCTCAGGGGTGCGGCTCGTCCCAAGTGACCCCACGCAGACCGGCTGGGAAAGACCACGGGAAACGCACTCAAAGCTCCGTAGCTCCAGCTTAACCCAACGGGCTGGGAGGTGCTGCTGTGGCGGCTGCGTTACTATCCCGACCCCGAGTGAAACGATGCCACGTGACCAGTTCAGTCTCAGGCCTCCCCGTCCACACGTAAATGCACGTCTGTACCACATAGTGTGCCCAGAGCATTTCATGTGCAGGCCTCCCCGTCTACATGTAAGTGCACGTCTGCACCCCACAGTGTGCCTGAGCGTGTTTCATGTGCAGGCCCCATCATCTACATGTAAGTGCACGTCTGCACCCCACAGTGTGTCTGAGCGTGTTTCATGTGTAGGTCTCACCATCTACATGTAAGTGCACGTCTGCACTCCACAGTGTGTCTGAGCGTATTTCATGTGCCAGGTGCTATTATTATAGTGACAAATAAGGAAACTGAGTCCCAGAGAGTTTAAGTGATGCTCCAAGTAAAACCACAGGAAGGTCTGGCGGGGCGAGGCCAGGACCCTGCGCCTGAGCCGGGGGAGCCCTGCTCACAGGCCTCACAGGGACCGTGTGGGGTGGTTGGGTGGTGGGCGACACCAGCACTGTCCTCACAGATCCCCAGTGTCCAGAACTGGGGGTCTGCCCTCCGCGACGTTCTCAGCACCTGCCTGACACCTCGATGCATCTAAGACCACCTGGAGCTTGGGGCTCCTGGGCCCCCCGCCCCTCCTCCTGCTACCTCTCCTCCCCCGTGACGGGAGCTGTTCTGCACCTGTGAGCACCTGCAGTTGGTTCCTCCTGATGAAAAGGCCACATCAGGTTCCAAAGGTGGAGGCCACGATTTCCTAACTACTCAGCACCCACATTTCTTATTCTCCAAAAAGGCAACTGACTCTCCGCCAGGAGCTCACAGAGGCCTGTGTAGCTTGGTGTTGGGGACAGTGTCCGTCCCAGGCTGTTCCCTAAAGGTTGGTGCCACACATGGGACGAAGGTACTATGGCCTCGTGCGTGTCCCCTGGGGACAGATTCACCTCTGCCCCGGGCCCGAGGGGGCACCCTGAGGGGTGAACACACCTGGCCGAGTCGGGACCCAGGCCCACAGGCTGTCCGCATCCTGGCGGACGCACACGCTGCAGTGAGGACTTGCGAGGAGCTGGTCTGGAACCCACACCCAGGGAGCCCTCCTGAAGCAGGCTGTGAGCTACGGCTCCTCTGGGTGGCCCAGTAGCACCGAGAGTGCGGACACAGGCATCCTCCGTGTCGCAGGGGCGCCGTGAGCTGTGTGTGCGTCACACGCGTCAGCTCTCACTGCGGCTGCTCTGTGTGCTCGAAGGGGACCGACAGAGCCTTCCCTCACTGGCTGTCACGTGTGCCCCTCAAGGGCAGCTTTCCCTTCTGTGCGGGAAGGGAGGCGCACAACAGGACTTGTGCCCACAGGGACTGTGCTGCGAACCCGAGACCACGTGCTCAGTGCTCACAGGGATGCGTGGGCAGAGCCCAAGGCAAGACGCCAGCAACCACACGGCAAATCGTGAGGATGCCACACGGGCGCCGCACAGTCAGGCCCCTCCACAGGCGCACACGGGCCCACACGGCTGCACATGGCTGCTCACACTTCTCGAGCTGACAGAGGCGCCGGCTTCAGCGTCGCCAGGCGCTCAGGCCCACGGCACATGCAGAAGCAGGACTAGCTCGCTCACACGCAGCACGTGCTGTTAGAGGGCGATGGACCGGACGGAGCTGCAGGCAGTGCACACGGCAAGCAACCGACGATCCGCTGACCAGGCTCCCCTGTCCCGACCCGTCGGCACGGGACCCCCCGGCTGGCCTCCGTGGAGCAGGGGTGGCCGCGGGGACAGGCTTCCGGTCCTCACACCTGGTGTCACCTGACTCCCTGACCCCGGGGCTTTGGGGTGTGGCCCCTCTTGTTTTCTTAAGTTGGAACAGGGTTAGTTGGCAAGGAGCACCCCGTGCTACCCAAACCTTTTCACGACTGATCCGTCCTCTCTCAGGACTTCCTCCTCCACTAAGCTGGGAGCGTGGACTTTCTCGTGGCTGCCCGTGTAACTCAGAGCCTGAGGGAGACACCGAGACGTCACCACGCGGGCCCGGGCACGAGGCTCCGCAGTCACAGCCGAGGACAGACACGCGGGACTTCAGGGGATGAGACGCCCTCTCGGAGCAGATGAGCACGAGTTTCACTTACCCGCTCCCCCCTCCATGCGGCTTCATCACCTTCCTTCCTTCACAAAGGTTCACCCAGCATCCACCCTGCCACGGCTTAGCTGCCTGCTCTCCCCACCCCTCCTCACCCCTCCCCACCCTCCCCTCCACAGTGGAGACTAAGGACCAGTGACCACCGAGCGCCCAGGTCACCGGCTGCCATGGAAGGGCAGCGTTTGGAGAGGCTGCCGCCCTGCCCTGGCCCTTCCAGGAGTCTCCGTGCGCACTGCAGGCGCGAGGAGACCACAGGTCATGTTCAACGCGACAGCAATGACCATCTAGCACCTCCCCCAGTCACACCCACAGGGCAGCGGGTCCGGAACACGGCGCCCTTCCTCTTGGATGGGGGAGGTACTGGGCACCCCGTCGGCCCTCACACTGGGCCAGGCCTCCAGGACCAAGAGGCGCCACGGGGGCTCCCGGGAAGCCCCACTGCCCATCAGCCACCAACCGGCAGCTTGCGGCTTCCCGACAGTTTGGGTTTTGGAATCAGAGTGAAGTTGTGTCCCTGCCACTGGGGACCCGACTCCTAACGCCTAGAAGTCAGAGCTTAGCTGTGGCGCTGGTGTCCATCTCTGGGCGCATTCAGGACCATTCCTGACGGGACCACAGCCTCTCAGGTTCTCCCCTCACTGACGGGTTGTTGGTGGGGG